GAGATGCAGGAGCAACAGAATCAGTTGTTGGATGAAATGCGTAGAATGAGGGAGCAGATGAGTAGAAAAGAGGCACTCCAGCTGAGGAGTCCACAGAGTCAGAGTAGTTTAGTTTAGTTTACATGAACTTATTTATTTCTATGAACATGTGTTATTGAATAATATGTGATGTTTTTAGTTATTTTTGTGAACTTGTTTATTTCTGTGAACATGGATATTTATGTTTTTTGAGTATATATTGAAGTTGTTTATATCTGTTATGTGTATAGCTGTCATCTGGAAGTGGTTTCGTATAGGTTTGCAGGTGTGGAAATTTTATTGTTGGCTGGGAAGGTAAATTTTTTTGTCAATGCTACAGGTTTCCGACGGATTATGCGTCGGAAAGTCGACAGAAACGACGATACAACGAACTGGATCGAGCATGCCGGCGTCTTTGGGTGCGCCGGAAATTACCGGCGCCTATTCCGGCGTTTTATCCGCCGGTAAATTTCGACGCCACTTTTGCACCGGAAATAAGCCGTAGCTTATTTACGGCAACATTCCGGCGACTTATGCGCCTGTAGTTTCCGTCGTATCCATACGATGTAAACTACCGACGCATTAGTCGCCGGAATTATGGAATGAAAATCGACGTCTTCCATGTCTTATTTTGCGCCGATAAAGCACCGGAATTGTTACCAGTGGCATATAAATGTTGGTAAATATTTAGCGACGCGAGCCAAACCGGCGGAGGCAAATCTGACGGAAATGCGTCGGAAACTGATGATTTTTGTCGGATTTCACATGTTACTGGCGGATACAGTCCGCCGGTAACAGCGTGTTTTCCTGTAGTGAGAGTTGGAATAAAGGGAGAAAAGAGAGAGGGAAGGAGATAGGGAAAGAAGATAAACATGTAGCCCGAACACATCTTGCGGTTGATAGGTAATGTGATGCCCTCACCTAGGGATTTCAACCATGAGCTCGGACACATCCTGCAGCTGGTGGGTATTTCATTGCCCTCACATAGGGACTTCCACTCTCCTAAAAACTAGCATAGCTTTAAAAAACAATGTGTAAAAATATTTTTTTAATTAATATATTATTATCTAATACAAGAGAAAGAGCCTCTATATATAGACCTTAAAAGGAACTAAAATATAACTTTGTCCCTTGGGCTTACATAAGACAAGACCCTTAAATAAGGGTAAAAACAAAATAATGCATAATTAAATCAAAAAATATAATTAATAAACTAAGATAAAATGGAGGGATCTCGGCCGTCGATCTTCTTCTCTTCCTTTGATTAACGTACATCGACGGATGTCCACATCACATATATAAGAGATAAGTGCTATAATTGCATAAGATGCCAGTTTTATGTGGAAAGTCTATGAAAAGAAAAATATCACGAGGCCTAACCGAAATTAAATAATTTAACTATTATTTATCATTGATTACAAAAGATGCCCTTCCTCGAAGGAAGTCATTGATACACTATCAATAACACATTAGTCTATTAAAATTGGAGGAGCTCATTGGCGGGACTCCAATATAAATCTAAGTATTGAAGTTGGAAGTCGAAGTAGATGTTGATAGTGTGTATCAATTTTTTTAAGTGGCGGCATACGTTGGCATTTATTAGCGATGGTAGGTGATGAAGTCAATATGTATTAGAGTAGCCAGAGGATTGTAGTGGGGGGATAGTGGCTAGAGGATTGTTGTTGAGAGATGGAGGTTGAAGGATCATAGTCAGAAAACTGTAGTCGAGTGATTTTGGTTGGAGGGTCGTAGTCGCCAGGCAATTGACTTCGAAGAATTATAATTATGTGACTGTGTTTTGAGGATCATAGTTAGACTATGGTGACTCAAGGAGCATAGCAAATAGGCAACATAGCTTAGAAGAACCAGACATGCAATAGAGGTAAAAAAGGATAGTGGTCAAGCGCGGTGGTCCGAGGAACATAGTTAGAAAAATGATATTTCAAGGGTCATAGTTGGGCAATGTTGGTCAAAAGATTATAGTTGGTGACAGTGATTCGATGATTGCAATCAAAATATGTTGGTCGGAAAGCTATATTCTAGTGATGGTGATCAAATGATCATAGTTGGATAATTATGATCAGATGATGGTGGTATGAGGATCACTATCAAGCATTCTAGTGACAATGGTATGAGGACCATAGCCAATGATAGATGGAGTTTGGAGGATTGCAATCAATGACCAATGAAGGTCAAAAGTATATTAATCGGGAGATGATTATTGAAAAATTATAGTCGGGTGATAGTGGTCAAATAATCGTTATCGAGTGATGGTGATCGAAGAATTGTAGTGGTCAACTGATGTAGGATCGATGATGAAGGTCAACATGGTGGCCCATCGGTGGTGCTCCAGAATCCTTAAGAGTCTTATAACTCTCTTGAATCTTAAGTCACAATTTTGGCTCCAGTTATAAGCTCCTTCCACCATCATATAAAGAGTATGAGTCTATTTATAGATTTTAATTAATGTTCTCAAAATTTTAGTTATGATTTTGTAACTCCCTTGATTTAGGCTCATTCGGGTTCAGATTGGACCATTTTTATATCATTTGGTTTATCTCGTTGATGTGTTTAATTTGATTATAAGTTTGCTGAAATTGGATTTCATATGGTCTTGAATGTAATTATGGAAGCATTCAATTTAAATATGCTCCGAGATTTGTGCATGGTTAAGATGATTAAAGATTATTGATACAATCCATTAATTTGTATTTATCCCTTAATAATTATTAAAATATCATAATTTTCATAATAGGCATTTCAAAAGCTACAAATTTAATGTAATTAAGCAATCAATTATTGCATAATAATTACTAAGTTAAATTAAAGATTCTTAACATTTAAAAAGTATCTAATTTATATACAATGGATTTAAAATATAAATATTTAAAATAAATATAATAATTTATAAAAATAATTACATTTTAATTAAACATTGTAATAAATAAATTTATATATAATTAATGTATATAAAGTTCAACATTTTGATAATTAATTTGAAGCTAATATTATGATTCATTAGTTGATATTTATTCTTTAATAGCAATTAGAATTCTGTAACTTTCATAATCATCATTTTAAAAACTAGCTATATAAAGTAATTAATTAATTATTTATTCACACGTTTTTATTTCAAATTGAATTTATTTGAAATGAATAAATTTGAATGATTTAGATTTAAAATTATAAGAGATAAAAGAATTGATATGATTTCATATGAGAAGAAAGACAAACCACTTTATTATTATTATTATTATACTTATGTATGCAAATGCACCAATTAATCATACCTATAAAGCGACCTGACACTGGTCAGATCATTTATAGAGTTTAGTATGATGGATAACTATCTAATAATAAATAATTGATAGATCATTATAAACTAAAAAGTGAATAGTTTACATGAAATGCAATTACATAAAATATTATTACAACTATGAAAAATAATTTATTTGAGTTTAGCTTAAGCTGATCATAAGCCCCGCCAAATGAATGAAAGGTTAGTATTCTTTGTTATTATATAAGTTTGAATTGAGCATTCAACCCTTCCATTAATTGTGGTTGTTGGATAATTTAAACTCTGTTACACATCTTGAATTTCATTATGCAATGTTATAACTATTAGATTACTACATACTGTGTTATAGTCATTAGATTACACTCTGTGGTCATATAATTATTGGATTGCACTCTAATATATTATAGCTATAGAATTACATTTGTTGTGTTGTATTAGTTGTGATTGCATCGTGTTATAGCAAACATTTAGTTCGCAATGTTAAAAGTTGTTGGATTGCATTGTTTGGTATATACCACTCGTAAATCCTACTCAAGCCATGGTTGAACCCTGTTCAAGCCCGCTCAAATCCTATTGGAGCTCTATTTGAACTATATTTGATTTGTTCGAGCATTATTGTTTGAATATCGTTTGAACCCATTGAATTATTTGCCATAAACTTTATGTGTACATTTCTACAATAAATCACACAACGAGCATATTTCTCTAATTACAATGATTATGGTGCATATAAAGTTAAATTTATCAAAATTTATGCATTAAATATATACATAAAAATAATTAAATGTTATGTAGGCTAATTGTTCTTAATTTAGGGGTGTAAATGAGTTGATTAGAGCTAAAGTCACTTACTATGTGCACAACTCAATCTCTCGCTCGAGCTTGAGTCAAGCTCATATAGTAGGTTCGAGGTTTAGCTCCCCCATATGTTCCTAAGCTCGAGCTTAAGTTGAGAAATTGAGATCATTGCAAAAGGGAAGAAATTTGTGACAAGAACTTGCTTAAAAATGATCAATAGGACCAACAATGAGACAATTGTGGTGAAAATTCGTTGGAAAAGGCATTGATATGACTAAAAATGAAGAGTTCAATGCAGGTGTTCACTTGGAAGGCACTGATGAGTCTAGCAGTGAGAAAGTTGTAGTGGGTGTCCCCATAAAAGCCATTGACTGGTCCAATGAGGTTTGAAGAACAAAAGTTGCTCGTGAATCCAATGACTCCCTATTGAGTCAGATAAACGAAATTGGAAGACAAAAATAAAAATAAAAATAAATTTTAGTTAAGCTGATTTGTGAGACAATGAGCTAAGCCAACTTTGCTTGAGCTTGAGCTTGAGCTTGAGCTCCTATAATTTAGAGTTACAATTTTAATTTAAGCTAGAGGGTCAATAAACTCAATTTAATTCATGTACAATTTATTGTAGCCCAATCAAATGGAATGTATGGGATAGCTTTGATGTATTATTTTTGAGACATCAAACATAAATTTAATTGATTACTATTTTTTAAGCTTTCTCTTAATACAAAAATTATAATAAAGAAATTTTTTTTTTAAATTATAATAACTAAACTATTTTCTCATCAATAATTTTATGATCAATTTTATAAAAAATAACAACCATCTCCAAAGAAATGACCGCCTCTGAAAATAAACCATTTACAAATAAAAATCTCCAAAGAAATGACCGCCTCTGATGCACCACGCCGTAACCTTTCCTTTCCGCGGTCCAGCGGCTCGTAGGCCGCCATCGGCAGCAATAATACCCTCTTCCCGCTTCTCTCCTCCCCTTTGATCTTCTATTTCTGCGGCGGATTTGAGGTACAAATCGAAGCTCTGATTCTCACCCCAAATTTATTTTGGTGACGATGTCAACCCTAGAGATTGAAGCACGAGAGTAAGTCAAAACCCTAAACCGCCTGATCTCTGACTTCTTTTATTTCGTCGCTGATTTAAGAAAATGATGGGTTCGGTAATTCCAGATAATTGCGGATGTTCCACTCCTATAAAACGGAACTTGAGTGCGCCATGCCGTAAACTTTTGTCATAATGTTACTAGTTCATGTAAAAAGAATTTTGTAGCCAAAGCCCGAAAATTTATGCATTTTTAGGAGAATGTGAAGTTCTTTCCAAAAAAGCATTTATAATTTCTAACGAAATGTTAAGCGCTTTTGGATAAGTAAACCAGCTAGTGTGCATGTATTAGATACTATCTAAATCCCCCTGAGTTTTTAGTATAGAGCACTTGACTTTTCAGAAGCAGCCAATGGAATTTAGCTGGATTAGGCATGCAGTATTGTTGTATGCTGCTAACTTGGCCCTGGCGCAAGTTACATGCAATCCTTTAGCAGTGAACTGCATCGTTTAGGTTTGTGGCAGGAAACAGAAAAGGCCCCCACAATAATTCCAATTTTTATATCTTCTATCCATGGTCCAAGCTTAGCAGGCTTCGGAGAAATTTGTTTCTTTTTTAAATTAGTAATTCAAGTTTAGTTGTAATTGACGTGAATTTACCAATATAGTGTGCAACTTGGGTTCTTTTTTGAATTGTGTTAAGATAAACGCTACTGATATCATTGATGACACTTTGTTTATATCAATCCATGTTAGCTTGGAAATATATTTGATGTAGTGCTTAGTAAGTCTGGTTGTTTAGTAACTGCTATGAACATTTTAAAGAAGTTTCTCCAATTTTAACCTGGCAAACATCATTGATTATAAGCTTCAATTTACCTCTATTTCCTCTATGCACAACTTACGTGCATTTTTGCATTTTAGATTCTTTTACATAGTTATGGTTAGAAAAGTTAAAGGCTAGCATATTTTTCATGCAGTGTGATAAAGATAGTCTTGCAATTCTGCAAAGAGAATTCATTGCATCAATCCTTCCAAGTATTACAAAATGAGTGCCAAGTTTCATTGAATACTGTGGACAGCCTTGAAACATTTGTTGCTGATATTAATAGTGGAAGGTGGGATGCTATCTTGCCCCAAGTGTCGCAGCTTAAACTTCCAAGGGATAAATTGGAGGACTTGTATGAACAGGTAGATTTATCAACTATGGATTTTATTTTATTTTTTTTCATTTCAAAATTTTCATGGAGCAGGACTCTTAGCTGCCAAACATTGGTTTTTTTCTTAACAAGTTTGGAGAAGTTCATTTAACCATTTGAAGATAGTACATTTTTTTGCGCAGTTCACAATAAATGCCATTTGTGTTTCGATCATTATTTTAAAAGGTGAAGGCATAGGTGAGGTGTTTTCCTTGACACTAGGTGGGGTGTAAGCCCCATGGGTCTTATATTTAATGTTTCTAAATAGACATTATGATTACAAATATAACACATGAGAAAAAGATTAAAATAAATTTCAAAATCCCTAATCATATAATTTATATTTAAACTCCAAAGTCCCTTAGACTCAAATATGTAAAGTCAAATTAAATTAGAAATCAAAATGAAAAAAAAGACAACTAATTATTGACTTCTCAACTCCTCATCCTAAAGCTAGACTGATGAGGTCATCGACAGACATTTTAGGCAGGTTTATCGGCGAAGGAATTGTAGATCGACGGCTACGATCGGGAGTTTATATTTTTGATGTTATCATGTCGTTTTTATGTTATTTTATTTTGTGTATCTTTTATTTCATGTACTAGTGACGATTTCGCCCTTATGTAGGCGTAGTGTTTATTGTAGCCCAAGGGGCATGTGAGTCTTTTTGTTTCATGCTTTGAGATCTTTATAAAGGGATCTCCTCTTATTGTATGAGCTTGATGAATGATTAATAAAATTTCTGAAACTTGTCTTTGTCTTCTTGCTTGGGAGCTTGAGAGAAAGAGAGAGAGGAGACCTAGGAGAGGTTCCACCCGAATTACCCAACAGCCCATGCCGGTGAGCTCTTGGTTCTCTTGAATTAGTTTGTTGTTTTCTTCTCCCCCGCTAAATCTCCGTACCCGACCCTTCCTACTGTCCACCTCCCCACCTCCCTGCAACCCACCCTGTCCAAAATTCCCTCAGCCCGTCGGCATAGGAGGCCGTCCTCCTCCCTTCCGCCGGCTGATTCAGCCACCGGCCCAGCCCGCCTCCTCACCTCCCTGCAGCCTTCCCCATAGAATCCCGCCGCCTCAGCCCCTCCCCATTCCTCTACCGCCGGCTGTGCCAGCCACCGGCCCCATCCAGCCACCGCATCCCGCCCCCCTTAGCCCGTCCCCCTCCTCTGTCCAGGAAATCCCGCCGCCTAGCCCAGGGAAATTCAAATTCCTTGCATTGATTCCCTCATTAATCCTTCCTAAATTAATGCCTTATATTTAGGGAGAGATTAAATAAAATCTTATCAGTTTTGATTTCAAATTTTGAATTCCTTTTAATTGATTAAAACCTGAAATTCAAATTAGGTTTTAATTAATCCCATGGGCCCCACTACTCCAATTTTACCCTGACAAACATCATTGATTATAAGCTTAAATTTACCTCTATTTCCTCTATGCACAACTTACGTGCATTTTTGCATTTTAGATTCTTTTACATAGTTATGGGTAGAAAAGTTAAAGGCTAGCATATTTCTCATGCAGTGTGATAAAGATAGTCTTGCAATTCTGCAAAGAGAATTCATTGCATCAATCCTTCCAAGTATTACAAAATGAGTGCCAAGTTTCATTGAATACTGTGGACAGCCTTGAAACATTTGTTGCTGATATTAATAGTGGAAGGTGGGATGCTATCTTGCCCCAAGTGTCGCAGCTTAAACTTCCAAGGGATAAATTGGAGGACTTGTATGAACAGGTAGATTTATCAACTATGGATTTTATTTTATTTTATTTTATTTTATTTTTTTTCATTTCAAAATTTTCATGGAGCAGGACTCTTAGCTGCCAAACATTGGTTTTTTTCTTAACAAGTTCGGAGAAGTTCATTTAACCATTTGAAGATAGTACATTTTTTTTGCGCAGTTCACAATAAATTCCATTTGTGTTTCGATCATTATTTTAAAAGGTGAAGGCATAGGTGAGGTGTTTTCCTTGACACTAGGTGGGGTGTAAGCCCCATGGGTCTTATATTTAATGTTTCTAAATAGACATTATGATTACAAATATAACACATGAGAAAAAGATTAAAATAAATTTCAAAATACCTAATCATATAATTTATATTTAAACACCAAAGTCCCTTAGACTCAAATATGTAAAGTCAAATTAAATTAGAAATCAAAATGAAAAAAAAAGACAACTAATTATAGACTTCTCAACTCCTCATCTTAAAGCTAGACATCCTCCAAGTACCCTTCTCCAGTGAATATATCTAAATGAGATGCAAGTGTTGGTTGTGTTGTTTCAAATTCAATTTAAGGAACAAACTAAACCTTAGTTAAGCCACTGCTCACAACTGATTTTACTGCCTACACATTTAAAAATAAAACAAGAGATAAAGGATAACAAGTTATTGTTTCTTAAAGTCTGTCCTTACACTCTAAGAGCTAGAAGAATAGAGGAAATTTCTAGATTTCTCTCTCTTGGTTATAAATTTTGGGTTCCAACATACCACAAAGAGTTGATTTAAAGGAAAGTGGTGACTTTGTAGTTTCTGGTAGTCCGTGATAAACTGGCCTCCATCCCTAGGAACTACTTCAAGCAAGCTCAACTGCACAAGCAACATGATGATGAGTAGAGACTTGAGAGGGAGATGAGAAGTGGTGTTGACGGTGGATGTCTATTGCAGCTTTGATGATGTGTATGTGAGGGAGACAAATGCGTTTGAGATGTTGCAGGCTTGTGGCTTTGATAATGTGTGGGAGAAGAATCGTTTGGGCTATAAGATTAAGGCATATTTTCCTTTAAGTTTTGACTTGAATAATAAGAAGGTTACTTATAATAGATTAAAATTTTATAATTGATAATTTAAATTAATGTAGGTACACTTAATTCATGGGACACAAGTCTTACCAATCAGGCACAAGAAGGGCACCCCATGAGGTTGGAGTGAGGCCTAGTTCTGCGGGTAGGACAATTGCACTAGTCAAATGCCTCCAGTGATTTCCCGATGCAACTTTTGCTTTGCCCCCCTAAGACCTCCTAAAGCACCGGTTTTAACCTCTGCTCATTTTTTCTTCTTTTAAGACTTTTGTGTGAGATGACCTATTGCAGAAACGCTTGTTTGATGTATCCATATATGTGATTTGTATTTCTGTTATTTCAGTTTTGTTTTGCATATCAGGTTGGTGTCTATGGATGCTTATAATGTGAATTTTGAATTATTTCTTTTCGACAGATAGTCTTAGAGATGATAGAGCTTCGTGAGTTAGACACTGCACGTGCCATATTAAGGCAAACTCAGGCTATGGGAGTAATGAAACAAGAGCAGCCTGAGAGATATTTGAGACTCGAGCATTTATTGGTTCGGACCTATTTTGATCCCAATGAGGTAACCTTTTCTTTCTTGCATGTGCATCTTCACTAGTTATTTTACTAAATCTTGAATTACCTACATTTTATCATTTTTTTTGTACATTTCTTATAGATAGATGGTTAGATCTTTTTCTTCTTGATCATAAAGTTAACTATGGCTTGATTGCCTTTGAAAGCCTTTGCCAATTATTTTCGATGTGCATATTAACACATAAAAAGTAGTAGAAAGGGCGTAGTTGGTACGTTATGAGAATAAGAATGTTCTACAAATAGAGAGTTGCAATGACGTGGACACATGCATAAAAAAGAAATATTTCTATATTCTGACACATCAATATGATTGCTATAATTGTTTTTCTAATTCCACATCTTTCTTTCAAAATTCTTTTAGAAAAAATTTATCATTGAGCTACTGTGCTTTTGTATTTTAATAGCAAGTATGTGAGAACTGTTGGCAGAAATGATGAGATTTTTCTTTTTTTTTTTCTTAGAAAACCTTAATGAATTTTTGAAGATTAAGTATGCAAGGTCGTGCAAGCTACATGGTTTTTGTTCTCACCCTTGGTTTATTTAGACATCTCAAATTGTTTGTTCCTTGGTGAGATGTGAACAATGCCTAACTTATTTCGTGCAATTTCTCTTTCCTTTTTTTGTTGAAAATTGGGATAAAGCATTGAACATTGGATTTAAAACATTTATCCATGAAACTTTAAGGTTTTTAGAGATCATAGATTGTTAATTTGAAGGTAATACCTGAATACGGCGATGGGTTTTATTACATGTGAACGACTTGGTAAGAGTGTAAAAATGAACTTAAACTTTTACCTTATACACCTCAATGTATTTATTTATCATTCTAAAGATTTAAGCATTGTTATTCTATAATCTTGCTAAGTCCTACTCTGTCTTCTCATTTAATGCCATAATTAGTAGTTTAATTTTCCTGTAATCCTACAGGTTTAATAAATAGAATTATGATTTAAAATTTAGAATTAAAACCAATAGCATTTCTATTTGGGCATGACAATATTTTATTATGAAGAACCAGTCATTAAGTAATTAACTATTATGTATAACAGGCTTATCAAGAGTCAACTAAGGAGAGGCGTCGTTCTCAGATTGCTCAAGGTTTGCTACCAATCCCATTATATTCTTCTACATGCAATGCACCATCGCGTCCATATTGGCAACTTGTGCTCAGACGTCCTTGGTTTGCTTCCAAGGAGGGTCTAGGAACATAGCTTCGCTGCACACTAGTGGGTTGGAAAGCTTCCAACCTGTGTGGGTTTGCCATTCTGCGCAACACCCCAAACCCGATGTATTAATAGATACTTTTGATAAAAGAACAACTTGAATATCTCCAAAGCAAAGTGAGACTTATGCTTTAAAGAATGTTTTACTTCATATCTTAAAATATGTTGCAACAACTCTTGAGCAATGCAATGATTAAGCTATCATAGGGGCGTATGCATGGTTACTTTTAGGCGATGGGGCCCTATCCATATTGTTGTTTTGAACCTAGTTGAATCCATTATTTACTCGTGGAGGATTGGGTTCAAAGGTGTACTTATAACCTGATGTGAATTGATATAGAGTATTTGAGTTTAATTTCCTCAATATTAATCTATAATTGGTATTGCGACCAATTTCGATGGGGGCTATATCCATATTGTTGGAGAGCCATAGGCTTTGTCGATTCTATCATTTATTTGTAGAGGATTGGACACGAAAAATGGGTCTTATGACTTTGCCTTATATGCAAGGAAGTCCATTACAATTTTCTTGTTAAATGAATTTTCATTACAAAAGGCCGCCTTAAGCAACTTCTAAACGTTTTTAGTGAGTTGCACTCTTGTATTTATAATATCACCGTTTGAATAATTGTTAACGTGTGGATACTATCTACTCTATTCCCCTATGTGAAGAATTAGGCCTTGAAAAATTATTGGGTTATGCACACTTTCTACTGTACCATCGTATGTGGAGGATTGAGCTTTGAACCATCATTGTGTATTGTACCTTATATGCTCCCATATGTAAATGGTGAAGTTTTGTACAATTATTGGGTCATAGAGGTTGTCTACTCTACCCTCATATATAGATGATTAGGTATTGGAAAATTATTAGGCTATGTACCTTGTTTACTTTACCCCCTTATGTTTATGATCATGTTTAAAAATTGGGATTTATTACTCTGGCTTATAAAGACAACATCTCATTTTGGTTGTCGTTCTAATTGTTATATGAGGGCGACCATGCTAAGGTCTTATTGCTTTCATCTTCTTGCTTTCAAAGAATGGGTCATAGGTAGATTTATAGGTATATAGGCTTATTGGTGGACAATTTGATTAATGAATTTAAAAAAATTGTCATAATTAATTAGGTGCTATTTAACTTTTTTTCTGAAGTTTAATAATAATAATTAGAAAAAGCTTAATTTCAGCTATCTTGCTATTTATTTGATATTTTCTTCATAAAGATATATGTAATGATATATATAATTTTTAAAATGTATATATTATAGAAAAATTGGTAGAATATCATTTAATAAATAATCAAATAAAAGATTAAGCCATCATTACATGAGCATTTTATCATGTTCTTAAAGGGCTACTTGCTAAACAACAAATGTATCACGAACATAAATGAACAAGTGAGTTAATATTCAAACTTGTTCATTTATAAGACAAGCTTTTAAAATTTTTTTCAAGCTTGTTGAAATAACTAAACATAAATGAACATTGTATAGACGGATATCAAATTGTTCATTGGGAGCATTTGTTCACTTGGGGGCAAGAAGAGTTCTGTGAATGCGCATCAAAGTTTGCTTGATTAGGGATGCTTAAAAGGAGTGGTTTTAAGGTTGCAAACGAATCTTGCCGAGCCAATCAGGAGGCTGTTTGTGCTCGAGTTTGTTTAATAAAAGCTTGTTTGAGCTTGGCTCGAGCATGATTCGAGCTTTTTTGATATTGTTCAAATTTGATTTATTTAAATTTGTTGTTGTTTAAACTTGGTTTTAGCTCAACTTTTGCTTGATTATTTTTGTGATCATTGAGCTTTAAATGAACAACTCGTTTGAAAAAATAAGCAAGCCTTATTGATTTGAGCTTGTTGAGATTTAAAGTGAATTCTTCAATTGAAAAGGATTTTGAAACAAGTGTTATCTTTTCGATTTGAGTTGATGCTTATCCGATCCATGTCTTCTCTAGAAAGATTCCTCCTTCTTCCTCACATCTTCTCAAGCAAGCTTGTTTCAATGATGCCCTCTCATGCTTCCCTGGGATGAATTTCTCTTATTTTCATATGTGGCTAGTCTTTAGGGGTGTCAATTCGGGTCAACCCGCCGGGTTCGGGTCGAACCCGACCCGACCCGTTTATAAATGGGTCAACCCGAACCCGACCCGTTTTTACAAACGGGTCGGACATTTCAACCCGGACCCGACCCGGCCGGGTTGCTATATATAATATTAATTAGTTTTATGTATTATTTTTTAGTATAAATAAATATTAATTAGGATATTACTTTCTATTATTTATGGAAAATTCAAATGAGCCTTATCCAAACTTTAGATTGAGTATTATATTGAGTCTTAATTGTGCCTTAATCAAGCTTCTTAACGAAGCTTCAACATGAGCTTTATACAATATTGTTCTTGATCATAAATAAATCGAGCAAAAAGTTGTTCAAACTTGTTCATTTAACAACATATTATATATAAAAATGTTCAAGCTTGTTTGATTAGTTAACTAAATGATCATAAACAAGCTCTAATAAAGTCGAGCCAGGAGGAGCTCATTAACCATATTGTTTTATTTGCAGCCCTAAGTGGTTTATAAGCTTTTGGTTGACCTTAAGGTGGATGGAAACAAAGGTTAGTGAATCAAATTAATGCTAGCGGGTTTGCTTCCAACTTTCCTTCCGCCCTTTCTCCTTTCACTTCAATCCAAGTTTGGACTCAAGTCAGATTGCTCTTGCAAGTGGGGGTAAGATACTAATGTATAGTTGTTCTAGAGGTGTGGAAATTACAAGCAGCGCATTGCATTAGGGTAGGGAAAGGCAGTAAAGGTGGCTCGGTAGGGTATAATACATACAATATTTAAATTGGTATTGCCAATGCATACATCTGTCTAAAGACTAAAATCAAGTAGAAGTTTGTTCTTTTATCATGCTCTTATGAGTTAAGTCGTTTGTCACATTTGATGATTTATTTCATCTTTGAGATTATTTCTTTGTTATACCAGATTCTTCACCTTCTTGCTCCAACATTATTTAATTTCATACTTTTTAATGAGTTATTTTATTGTTATGCACTTTCCAGCTCTTGCTAGTGAAGTTAGCGTAGTGCCACCATCTAGATTAATGGCTTTGATTGGCCAGGCTCTTAAATGGCAGCAGCATCAAGGTTGGCGGCCAGTCTAACACATGTTAACCGTATTTTGTATGCCATTTAATTTAACTAAATTATATATGTTCTTAATGAGGCAAATGATTTTCATTCAGGGATGCTTCCCCCTGGAACACAGTTTGATTTATTTAGAGGGACCGCTGCCATGAAAAAGGATGAGGATGATATATATCCAACAACTCTTGGCCATCAAATAAAGGTACTCTCATTTCACATTCTTTTATTTATTTTTGCACTTTTATGGAGCTTTTCTTACACTTGACTTCGTTTGGGATGGCAATTTTATTGTTTTTTAGAGCAGCTTTCTAGTACAAAATTTTTAATTTTTGTACTAGAAAACTGTTTTAGAAGCAGTAAATAAGCTGTCCCAAACGAAGCCTTAATAAGCTACATGACAATGAACATGTACGACCTCGTCAGCTTTGATTTAAACTGGACGCATCATGTAAAGATTCATGTCAGACACATGAGAAATATGGAGTATGTAGAGGGTGTAGTGCTGAAAGCACAACTACTTCATTTAAGTTAAATTCATGATTATAATAATAGTAATCATATGCAGGACACATACATGCTAAGTTACAAGTCAGACACATAAGAAATATGGTAGAGCATGTAATGCCGGAAAACAGCCACTTAGTGAAATTTATAACTATACTAACAAATTATAATCATATCAGTGGAAGCTTTAATTTATACAGGACACATGAGAAATATGGTTTTTGCTGAGGATGCAATTCTGAAAGTACAGATCATAGGAGTGAAATTAATAACTTTTATAATAAATATATGGTAAAAATATCATTAAGAATTTGTTAGAAGTCTCTATTTCGAGCCATATCCGCAGAGTCTCACTGAAACTATCTTATTATTACATCCACGCAGAGTCTCACTGAAACTGTCCATTTAATTTCATGTTAAATGTAACAGTGATTTTAAGAAAATTTTGAAGTAATAGCTTTACAAGACATTGAATTCAGCAGCCCCTGCTAGCACGCAATTCATATGATTCAAATTCATTTGCATAATCATCAATCTTAGCTTAACTATTTGGGTAAGCTTTTTATTAATCATATATCTCCATTGTTTCCTCATTATATGTTGCATTTGTGTATTTAAGTTTAGTCAAATCTTTTGAACTAATAGCGAACACTTTATTTTTGGTCCACCCTATGTGGCTATTATTGGTACTTAATATGAAGTTAGCTTTTAAGAAGATACATAAAACTAAAGATCTATTTGCCTATAGATACCTATTGAGATTTATTGTTTTAAGTGATATTGGAGTAACAGGCGAACAAATTTTTTGAATGAAATTCTTAAGACTAAGTGGTTGCCAAATAATTGGAATACTGTAGTATCATTTTTTAAGAATAAAGGAGATACAAGAATTGTGGCAATTATAAAAGAGTCAGGCTTCTATATAATGATTTCATGCAATAGCATTCACACTAATTGAAGAATTAGTTTGGTTTGAGGATACAGAGAACAAGGGAAATATCTTCATGTGGACATTGGAATGGAATATATTTAGCGAAAATTGCTTTTGTGAGTGTTGCATAGAATGTACTTAGTTGATTTAGGCATCATTAAATCCATGCACAAGTTTTAGGAAGGAAAAAGGTGTAAATCAAGTGTAACCAGGTTGGAAGTTGTGAAATTTTTTTTTTGCATAATCCAGAGTTGGTATCACGTGCAATGCTTAAAGAAAAATGAAGAAGCGTTCATAAGGATACCCCAAATAGTTGGGAAAAAGTATTTATGATAATGATTTGATAGTTTCTAAACAATACTACAAATCATCTATTATTATTAATTTATTATGTTTTCTTTTTGTTTTATGGTTAATATATCCTTATGTACATATCTATTTATCAGTTCTTTGGTATTATATTATTATTATTATTTCTTATTGTGTATTCCTTATTAACTGATAGTTCTAGCCTTTTAGTGTATGATGTATGCATTAGAATACTTTGGGTCTTTTTTTGTCATCTTTTTTATATAGATTATGTGGTATTCTTCTTTTTTTTGCATGGGTATTTTATATCACTTAATAAATTATAGTTTCTTTGCTCTGTTTATTTCATAGCTTTCCGTCATGGAAGTTGCATCAGTATATTTATCAATCTTGTACTGTAATTTTTGCATTAAGAGTTCTGAAAGTTAGGAAGATATGTTAACCTTCTTTCTCGTTGATTTATTCTCTCTGCCCATTTACTCCAGTTTTTTGTTATCCAGTGCAATCAGCACTAATCTTCTAAATAGTTCGGATTCTTATTTATGACGCATCACATAAAATCTGTGCGTCATAAAAGGTTTATTGGATCCTGTAGAAAATAAAACAATCTAGTTGCGCTGATCTGCGCAACTTCAAACTGCGATGGTATTGTTCATCCCAAAGTTTATTTAACAAAAAATGCTGGATTGGTATGTTACTAATATGTTTCAGGGAGCTGTTTAATATCTTTTTGCATGCGGTTTATATTTTCATGTTGTGTTTCATTTTAAGTGCGTTTAGTTTTTAATTATATTTTGCAGTGGATGGCGTTTTGGTAAGTAGGTGTGATCCTTTGATCACATTTTCTGCAATGTATTTCTTACATGCATGTGCATTTGCAAGTAACGCGTTTATGATCTTACATGGGTTGCTTGCAGTTTGGAAAGAAAAGCCACCCAGAATGTGCACGATTCTCTCCTGATGGGCAGTACCTAGTTTCATGCTCAGTTGATGGGTTTATTGAGGTAAATAATCTTTCCAACAACTAGCCTGTTCCTGACTTATTCCTAATTTTTTGTTGAAACCAGGGTCTCTCCCTTTTGAAAATTAGGGCCTTGGATTTTCTTTCTTTGCAATGATTCTGATTCAAATGAGTAATTATTTCGATAACATGGCTAAAAGAACTTATTAGGAAATTGTTAATCATGCTTTGTCACCCATTGTCAGGTATGGGATTACATGAGTGGGAAGCTCAAGAAAGATCTTCAATATCAGGCTGATGTGAGTATACTCAATCTTCATCTCATTTTTTTGCGAGTGAAACATGAATGTGTCTATCTATAATTTAAGATGATGTGCTTTTATCAATCATGACTGTACTATTAAGATGTTGCATGTGAACTTAGGTGTGATAGGAAATATTTGAATATTTCACTTGAACCCTGGCAAGATTAATGAAAACAACGAGAAAACTTCATGAATATAATGGAATAAAAAACAACAAAATAGTAGTTTTTTTTGGTGGAAATCAAATAACATAAGCAACAAAGCAAGATACAATTGATCCTCAATTCGAGAGTAGGACCGTTCTCTCCCAATGCCTAAAGGAATCTAGGTCCAAGACACCAAGACAAGAACTCTGGAAATCAGCCACCAAAACAAAGCATTGCAAAATGTCACATAAAATTATAGCATGAATCATCATAGCACAGGGTGCCCTTACGATTATGCCTTGCTCTGGATAATTATGCATGTCTGCCGAGTACTAATTTGTTGTGTTTTTCATAGTAGTAGCATTAATGCCAGCGTGAAGCTTTTTTTTTTTTTGGCTGCTGACATTCATGTAAATACTGTAGGATTCCTTTATGATGCATGATGATGCTGTACTTTGTGTTGATTTCAGTAGAGATTCAGAGATGCTTGCATCTGGGTCCCAAGATGGAAAAATCAAGGTAATATGTTTATCTTTTTTTCATTTTTGCGCATTTGGCAAGTTTGTCACTTTCTTGTCACAATAGATGGAGAAAAAATTAGACCTGTCAATATTTGACCCGACCAGAACCCGACCCGGAATTTCCGGGTTTGGGTTGACCCGAACCCGAAGCGGGTCGGGTTCGGGTCCAGGAAACCGACCCGTTTGCAAAAACGGGTCGGGTTCGGGTTGACCCGACGGGTTGCCGGGTCAACCCGAAAACCCGTTTATTTTAAAAAATTTTGATTCCCGCCCTTGCCCGCTGCCCCAGCCCGAGGAATGTGTCTATCTATAATTTAAGATGATGTGCTTTTATCAATCATGACTGTACTATTAAAATGTTGCATGTGAACTTAGGTGTGATAGGAAATATTTGAATATTTCAAGTAAACCCTGGCAAGATTAATGAAAACAACGAGAAAACTTCACGAATATAATGGAATAAAAAACAACAAAATAGTAGTTTTTTTTGGTGGAAATCAAACAACATAAGCAACAAAGCAAGATACAATTGATCCTCAATTCGAGAGTAGGACCGTTCTCTCCCAATGCCTAAACGAATCTAGGGTCCAAGACGCCAAGCAAGAACTCCGGAAATCAGCCACCAAAACAAAGCATTGCAAAATGTCACATAAAATTATAGCATGAATCATCATAGCACAGAGTGCCCTTACGATTATGCCTTGCTCTGGATAATTATGCATGTCTGCCGAGTACTAATTTGTTGTGTTTTTCATAGTAGTAGCATTAATGCCAGCGTGAAGCTTTTTTTTTTTTTTTGGCTGCTGACATTCATGTAAATACTGTAGGATTCCTTTATGATGCATGATGATGCTGTACTTTGTGTTGATTTCAGTAGAGATTCAGAGATGCTTGCATCTGGGTCCCAAGATGGAAAAATCAAGGTAATATGTTTCTCTTTTTTTCATTTTTGCGCATTTGGCAAGTTTGTCACTTTCTTGTCACAATAGATGGAGAAAAAATAGTTTTGTAGTTAGTGTAGGCATGATGACATGGCATTTACTTATGCCTTTTTAACTCCTGCCAATTAAACATTATAATAATGTTTTAAAACTAGTTCTTTTGAGACATAAGGCCCACAATGTTTTTCATACTGCTTGTTCTTAAGGTTTGGCGAATACGAACTGGTCAATGCTTGCGGCGTCTTGAGCGGGCCCATTCACAGGGCGTTACTAGCCTCACTTTCTCTCGTGATGGAAGCCAGCTTCTTAGTGCATCATTTGATAGTACCGCAAGGTTCTCATGGCATCAAGTACACTGCCTTAGTAAATAATAGTTATGTTCAGTTTTTGTCGTTCTTTTGAATAACTACCCTTTTCTGAGACTTTATCATATTTATCTATGTTATTGGAACATTCATGAAAGAATTCATGGCCTCAAGTCTGGCAAAATGTTGAAAGAATTTCGAGGTCACACTTCATATGTTAATGATGCAATATTCACAAATGATGGCAGCCGTGTCATTACAGCTTCCAGTGATTGCACTGTGAAGGTATTGTTTTTTTTCTTTTTTTTTTTGATAGTTTTTTTATTTCTTCAAGCCTGGGATTTTGACTCTTGCAATTACTAATTCATTTACCATTTCAGGTGTGGGATATGAAAACAACTGATTGTTTACAGACTTTCAAGCCGCCCCCTCCTTTAAGGGTACCACTTGAGATTCAGTCTGTTGGCCCATGTTGTCTCAGTTCTTATTTTTGAAAGTAACCTTATTTTTTCATCTTTTCTAGGGTGGTGATGCATCAGTGAACTCTGTTCATCTGTTTCCAAAAAATACTGAACACATATTAGTATGCAACAAGACATCATCAATTTACCTCATGACTCTTCAAGGACAGGTACTTTTGCTCTCAATGAAGAGGGAATATGTAAATTATTCTTCTTTCTTTTCTTTTTTCCTTAATACTTGTTACGTACACCATATCTTAGTAGTAATCTATTGATTACATATTTATGCTGCATGTGTATATTTGAGATCACATGATAGATGTATTAGTTTTAACCTATGTTAAGAGGGGTAGAGGTAGACCTAAAAAGACTTTGTTAGAAAATATTAGAAATTATCTTTCTTTATTAGATCTAAATGAGAATTTTGACTCTTAACTGGATATAATGGAGAAAAAAAATTCATGTATCCGACCGACCCCATGTAGTGGGATAAAGGCTTGTTGTTGTTGTTGTTGTTGTTGTTGTGTATATTTGAGATCTCATGTATTATTTGTAGTTGATTACTTCGTTTGGACATGTATTTGTCCAGCATGTTCAGAAACAAATTTAACTTGCTGATGAGATTAATTTATTCATTATATAGGTATTCAAGTTGGCGTGATCCATTCTTTTTCTTCCCGTCATGTCATTTTTGAAATTTCTTTGATTTTTTCCCCTCAAATGCTCTTTCCATGCTGGCTATACTTTCTCCTTTTTAACAAAAGTCACTTTATTAGCATTTGTATGCTATATCTTTAGGGTTTGAGGCTATATGCTTATATGATCTATATCAGATTCTTAGATTAAATCTGTTTGGCAAGTTTGAATTTCTTTCGGGTTTTCGACGCTATGTTTATCTGATCTATATCACATTCTGAGCTTAAGTCAGTTAGCAAGTTTGAAGCCCATGGAACAATTCTCTTTATAGGGTATCCGATTGTTTATACCAGGATAAAGCACTTTTTCTTTTAGGAGTTCTGAACACCTTCATCATGACTTTGAAAAGGGACTCAAATGGTTCCTTTCTTGTAGTCTACACTCGACTTAGTGTAAAGGTTTTTTTAATTTACGTGATTGACTAATGAAATATTTTTTGATGCTCGGTAAATTCTTTTCGTTTTGATCTCTTCAAATCCCGTTTAGAATTAAACTGTTATTTCCTCAAAAAATTGTTTTACAGGTGGTGAAGAGCTTTTCATCTGGTAAAAGAGAAGGTGGAGACTTTGTTGCTGCCTGTGTTTCACCAAAAGGAGAATGGATCTACTGTGTTGGTGAAGACATGTAAGCGCTGTTTATTTCCCCCTTTTTACACACTGTAGCAAATTTCCTTGCTAATTCTTCGTCCTGATATTGGCATTCATTGCATTAACTATATGATACCCAAAACTAAAATGATAGTTTAGGGTTTAGGGTTTGATTTACTTATAGTTGTGAACGGGCTAACTCCTTATCTATCATTATATTCAATTTAAATTGGTGAATTACATATTCCATCGTTGAGCTAGCCAGGTGACCCCATCGAACCATGCTATCTTGTTTTATGTTTCTGGTTTCCTAAAAAATTATGATATTTATTACATTTTCCATTTTTTCATTTAAAATCCTCTGTTTTTTGCTGGCCATACTCACTAGTTATTGATTTTCTTGATATGTGCAGGAATCTGTATTGTTTCAGCCATCAATCTGGTAAACTAGAACACTTGATGAAGGTGGGTATTCTATGTTACAGTAGATTGTGCCTCTAGAGATGTAGCATCTTCTATTATCAAGTGAAACAATTAAATGTTTACATACAGTCATATATACGTTGTTGCAAAGTATTTTGTGGTGAGATTTGGATTCGCTCACCTCAACCTGAGGGGGAACTCTAACCAACTAATCTGAACTGTGTGCTGAACTTTTTTGCAAATTATTATTAGATTTGGAGTGTTTTACAGTCTTTAGTCGTAAACTAGGAATACAAAAAAACATTCAGGGTGTATGGAATATTATAGTAGGAATGTGTCTACCAGCAGTAACCATAATTTTAGCATGCAACAACAAAAACAACAAGCCTTTGTCCCACTGCGTGGGGTTGGCTACATGAATCCTTTCTCTATTGTGTCATGTTAAAAGTCGAATTCTCATTTAAATCTAATAAAGAAAGATCATTTCTAATATTTTCTAACGAAGTCTTTTTAGGTCTACCTCTACCTTTCTTAACATAAATCAAATCTAATACCTCTACTTTCCTAACCGGGTCATCGGAAGGCTGCCGTTTTATGTAACCAAACCATCTAAGACGACTCTCTCTAATCTTATCTACCGCTGGAGCTACTCCAACCTTTTCACGTATATGCTCATTTCGTATCCTATCTCTAAGGGTAAAACCACTCATCCACCTGAGCATCCTCATCTCCGCAACACTTAGTATTATACTTCTCTTTTAATGGCCAACATTCGGCACCATAAAGCATTGCAGGTCTCACCACCATCATTTTAGCATGCATGGATGTAAAATCAGAACTGGAATGTTTCTCTACTTCTTTTTTTTGAAGAAAAGTTTGGTTTGGTTTAGGAGTCAACATGATCAATCATTATGACCAGTATCTTAGTTTGTAAACTTGCTATTTTTTCTAGCAATTTTATTTTCATTTTTTCTTGTCCTGAATTCTAATGCTCGCGTGTAGTGAAGAAGTTGTGGTTTCTATGAGTTTTTCCATTTTCTTCTACAGGTTCACGAAAGGGAAGTGATTGGTGTAGCTCATCATCCTCACATGAATCTTGTTATTACCTATGGGGAAGATTGTGCTCTGAAAGTTTGGAAACCATAGATCATAGACTGGGCAAATGCTTCTATCAACATTCTCTTCTGCAACTGAATCAAAAGTTTTGCTAGTGTCTGGAGCAACACTTCAAATTGGATCATCATTTTGTTTAGATTGTATTTTTTTTTTTTAGTTTTCATTGTATTTTGCTAATGTTCTGTGTTAATATGATTTATCTGAGGTCAGTGAATCAAGGTTGAGGTTGAATGTTAGTAAAATACATCGGATACACATTTTTCTTGTAAGATGTTTGTTTAATTGCAGAAATAGAGTTTTATTGCATTTCAAAATGTTTTTTTATTATCTCCTCGCTCGTTTTGTATTTAGTTTTTTTTTTTTTTTGGTAATTTGTCTCTTCAAAGTGTATTCTTCAGGGTATATTTTGTGATAGTTGGCGAAGTTCTTATCGTTAAGCAAACTACTTGTTATTTGTTTATGCTTGACTTTATGCTTTTCTTTAGGCTTCGTTTGGAACATTTTTTTTTACTATTTTTAAAATAGCTTTCTAGTAAAAAAAAATTTAATTTTTGTAAAAATTTATTTTTTAATTAATAAAAAAGTTATTTTGAATGAAATTTTAATGGCTAATATTTTATGCCATAAAGCATTGTAGGTCTCACCACCTTAAAAATTTTCCTTTTTAAGTTTGAGGGGTACTTTTCTATCACACATATCGATACATTTCTGTACGTCGACCATCCAACTAGAATTTTACTAATAATATTATATTATTATGAACATTAGATGCAAGATATCTAAACTATGTACTATTTTAATAACTTGATTGCCCAAGATTTATTATTACTAAAATTAAACTATATGTATTCAGCTTTAAATTTACTTAAATGAAAATGTTTGGATTTTATGATTGATTTTTATCATTTTAGTTTTTCGTCAACTCTTTATTCTTTGTTGACCTCTTAAATTTGATTGATCATGAAGGTGAGCACATCTAACGAGTTTGATGATCGATAGATGTGATGTACGAGTTGATTCATGTATCCTCATGTACTAGTTTCTATATTCATTCCCAAACTCATTCGTATATCAACCTTCTTCGCTATTGAATTCACAACCCCTCCGTATAAGAGGACAAAAGGCGATACTTACAAAATTCTAACAAAATGCAAAATGCGAAACTAAAAGTTGGAATTGACATAGTCATCACTTGCACGAGTTTTCCAAATTAAAACTACAATTTCAATATGCAACACTTTGAAATTTGTGCATGGAATTCAAGATGTGAGAAAAATATTCTGAATTAGGATATTTTTAGCACAATGTGCACGTATCTTGAGTCAGTCTTCAAATCTCACCAAATTCGCCTTTAATAAACGCACAAATGCAACGAGCGTAATCAGATGCCATATGCAAATTTCATTAATATACATTGAAGGTTATGTAAGTGTCTAGCATATGCTTCGAGAGCATGGCAAATATGGCAAATATGTAAGTATGATGTTTGAGAATGCTGTGTAGATTTAAAGATCATGAATGAATTTCAAACTCCTACTCCAATAAGAATACAAATACATAATTCAGTGCATTGGAAATATATAGCTTTATCAGCAGGTGCACTGATATATGTGTACATACAATATGTATATGTGATGATAATTGTGCAGTTGCATTGTGTATATGCAATAAAATACATAAAAATATAGCATAGAAATGCCCTAATTAAAATGCAAATATATTGAAATATGCAAGCATAAGAGAATTGTGCAAGCACATTTTGCAAATATATACTAAAAATACACAACGCAATTTGCAAATATGTTAAAATACACATATGTTGTAAAAAGCAATATGCAAATGCACCGATAATGTGCAGGTGCATTAGGCATATACAACTCATAAAGCACAAAGCCAGAGCCCATACGTTCCTCAATAGCTCTAAACCCTTGAGTAATGAATCATATAGTATACCTGATAGGGTACAAAACCTTCTATTAACTAAGGTTGATTTAAATGTATCTCTTTAGTCAAACATTCACCCCAAGTCTACTAGGTACCATTGGAGGAAGCAGTCTATGATTGGTGATAATGATCCTTCGATCATGTTGGTCGACTATCTCTTTTGACTAAATATACTAGGGATTACGACAGTTTGGGACGATGGAATCATGTGTTTTTGATCAGGCTGTCATCGTTCCCCCATTACCCGCTTTAAATATATGGCGATAATTTTCAAATCCTAGAAATCATACAAATCTAATTTCAAGACCCTAAAACTGTTGCTACAATACGTTGAGTACTTAGTGCCTATCCAACGACTAACCTTAATTAGAAGTTCTCTCTCGTTATTGTGATGAGTAATTAATCATAGGGGGGAATTTAGACCTTTGATCATAAAGTCCTTGCAAAATGATGGCGAAATATACGGGTAGTGTCTTATTTAAAATTTAACCAGCCTTCTAAAAATTTATACTGAAACCTGATTCCATTAAAACTTTCCCCGTTGACAAAAAAGAGTGCATAGAGGTCGGGGTGTGAATTTTCAGGGAGCATAGTCTAATTAACAAGAAGAATATTAAAATAGTTCTCTCAAGCCCAAAAATCTCTTTAACCTAAAACACACAATCACAATTCCACTTGACCCAACCTTCTATAATGAGTTCACCTAGGACCTAAAATGATGGAAGGCTAAGTCTCAGAAATTTCATGCACTCTAGAAACAAGGAACATGATCTCTTATATAACCTTTTCCTCACTACATGTCATTGGCTTTCATTGGACATTCAAAATCAAGCTCCATGTGAATAAAGTTATTGCTCGACACAAAGCTTGCATGGTGGCTCAAGAATACCACCAAGAACAGGGCATCATCTACATAGAAACTTAAGCCAACTTAAGCCCAATGTGGCTAAAATGTCGGCCATTAGAATTTTTATACTTAACATTTCTCTTCATCAATGTTGGGAAGTCTTACAACTTGATGTATCCTATGCCTTAATGGACAACTTAATGGCATCATATACATGCACCAACCTCCCTATTTTCAAGCTCCATAGACTAACCAAGAATTCAGATTATGGTTGATTAACCCACACCTCTTTATTGTGACTATATCTCCACCATACCTATTGCAAATAATTTTGTATTCCATGCTCACATGCACTAAGCTTATTGAAATCGACTACCACTTCATTAGAAAACACATTCTTTTCAATGAGATTAAAATTTTTCACATCATCTGATATCCTTACTAAACTTTTATACAACTGCGTTTAAAATTGACTATTCAGTCATAGCTCATCAACTTTAGGGGTGATAATAGTGAATTAGTGACATAGTAAACTTCAAATGATTTAGCAAACTGGAACAACTACTATGCTGCCAAAGCAATCAATCACTCAGCATACACACTGATATGATTAACATTGCTAACGTAATGCAACCTATTACAATCGGTCATAGCTTCACATCATAGTATCATACATACAATGATTGTAACACCGAATTATGAGTGTGGAAATTGTATCCTCCTTGAATACTGTTTGTCTTTCCAATAACATATATTAAAGTAAGCTTTAGCTCTACCTCTAATCTCTCTCTTTTTCTCGTTCTCTTCATGGATCACCAAACAACCTAATTCATTAGCCATCAACAAAAAACCCTTATTATTGAGACAAACATCATACTATTTTATCATTTATTGACTTAAAACAATAAATAAACCTAAATTTAAATAAGATTATACATTCTCAAAATTTTCCAATGACATCATTACAAGTATGTATTCATGATTATTAAATACATCAAAAGATATATGCATTACACTATATATAATTAAATACACTAAAATTATTAAACAAGTACATAAAATTTAAAAGTTAACATAATGAGCTCTTCATTGCCATTGCCATTCTCCATCAAAATCTCTCTGGCCTTAACTATGTGAGACCTCCATTTTCATGAAGCTGCCGAGTTCTCCACAACAAAGCAGAGGAAATTAGAATTTCGAAGGAGAGATTAAAAGAAAATTTACCCAAAATTTAGGATAATAAATTCTTTTTTATAGTATATACAGGATTGCAAATAATTGAAGATTAAAGTTTAATATTTGAAGCAGTCATACAAACTTTTCCCAAATTTATGGGGCTGTAAGCATTCCATCCCTGCATTGAAAAACTAGAAATATAACACAATTATGTGGAGCTTCCACTCCTAATAATTTCTCCTTTTAAAGAGCGAAAAACAAAATTTCATAATTTTGAAATTCATCATGACCCAGAACAAATCTATTAAGAATCACTGTTAAACTTATACTCAATGTCGTTGAGAAATTGTTCTGTGTGAACACTGGATCGTTCGGAGACGAATCCGAATGCGTCACTTCACTGAGTACACTGCAAAAAAATGACGTGACGCGTCATGATTCGCCTCTGGACAATGTCTGGCATTCGCACAAAATAATTTGTCCAATGTCACACTATCACCTGTAAGAAAAACATACGTAGGATAAAATAAAAATGAAAGATAATCTTACCGTGCTTCGATAATGGCGAGAGATAAGGAGAAGAGAAAGCCAGGGAAGAGGCAGTGCATGGGAAAGGCAACAACAAACTTTCACAAGCAATCAGCCTCTATCTTTCTCTCTCTACATCTCTCTCTCTATCTCTACATTGGTGTGTTGATGACCCCATCTCATGCTCTGCCTCATCCCTGCCTTGATGCTTTCCTCTCTCTCTCTCTCTTCTCATAGTTCTCTGCAGATAACTCCATTGCTTTCAGCAGTTGAATATATAGAAGTATTTGATTATTTGGCGAAAATATAGGGAATGGTACGCTTTTGCTTCTGTACTGCAATTCATTGGAGTTTGAAGCTTTTGAGTCGTACTGTCTAATGGTTTTCATGTACTATCCCTACTTCTTCATTCTATTAGTACTTTGTTTAGTTTGTACTACACAACCTGCCTTTTTATTATTATATGGGTCCACGTAGTCCATCTTAATTTATTAATTAAGAGATTTAGCTACCAACTAAAATTTCATTGGGGACGGTTTTTCTATTGCTTCTTAAAAAACTTTTAAGAAGCAGTAAGAAAGTCGTCCCGAAAGAAGTCTAAGAGGTCTTGAGCCAGAAATTTACATATGTGATGTGTATAAATTTATCTAAATTGGCTAAAATGTCTCCAAAAAATGGGGTCCCATTTTGAGCGATTGGGTTTAGGAACACGTTGATGAATAAATTATTAGAAGAAAAAGTAGATTTTTTTTAAGTTATGAAAATATAGAAAGAAATAACTCTATGACTATTTATATGTGATTAATTTAGTCATAAAATATCATATTTATATAATTCAATTTTTTAACTATATAGATTTCATGCGATCACTCAGGCTAAAATTAGGTTATAAAATTGATTTTAATTTAAGATAAGTTTGGAGCAGATTTCTCGGTGCTTTGCTTTTCAGACAATAATTATGTTTTTATTTGACTAATATTTTTTGATTATTTTTTTTTTTATAAATTTCTATGATGAAAAATCACTTTTTGTAATCAGAGTAATGAACTTACTTTTCTCATAGCAAATTCACATCCTATATATATATATATATAAACAAAAATATATTATATTAAAATCAAAAAGTGTTACAAAAGGCCAAGAAACAAAAATAAAAACAGTAAAAGAAAATACAAAAAGACATAATCAGTAGGCTCGATAATTGGCCAGGGCTTCCAGCTCTCCTGAAGCCAAGCACAGACCTTCCAATTTGGTGAAGAATGCCGCAAAGAAACCAAACCAACCGACCAGCCAAGGCACCAAATGATCAACACCAAAGGTTGCCATGAGCCATGACAACAAAGAAGCGAGCCACAGATACATCATAGCCTAGCACATCCACGTCCAACAAAAAACTCAATCGAATCAGCATGAAAAATCCAACCACAGAGAAAAACATGGGGCCAAACAAACTAATGACTCCGTCTACCCCTCCCACGGGACCTGCCACGAGAACCGACAAAGACCGGTCGGTCACGAACCATTTTAAAATCATGTCCATGATCAGAACCACCACAATGCTCCGAGGATGAATCAAACTCAGCTTCAGTCGAAAAGTGAACCCAATCAAGATGAAACCGCACATCCATCCTATAATTATCACCCACATGATAAACCATAGCATTAGGTTCGATTAATTTCACAGGCACATCCACAAAAGAGTTAGGAATAACCAACCCATCACCCGAATTAACATCACTTCTAACAACATCACCACCAACTAAAGCCTCACATGACACCACCTCAACATCAGGTAAAGGAGAACCAATATAGTTCAAATCGCAAGGAATACCACTTTTCATTACCACAAATACAGGATCTCCTTCCCCCACATTATTAGAAGTAGGGACACTACCAGAGGGGACATCAGCAGTAACCAAATTAAAATCAACCACTGAATTAACAGTCGCAGAAGCAGGTAAGACCACATCAGAATTGAGCCCGTTCTCCACACCAACATTTTCATGAGAACAAACAGGCAAATCAGACAAAGCCCCAAAATGACCATCCGGGGAAACACACACATGATTAACACACCCAGATACAGGGACAGCGTCATCACAGATCAGAGTAGAAGAGGGGTCGATTAAAGCAAGAGGAACAGAGTTCACTATAGGATCAGATACATAGGCCACCGGCGTGGGAGCCGAATCTGCAGCCGGCCGTAAATGAGGAAATAGCTTAATACATTCCGACTTCTTATGACAGACAGCTTTACAATGCTGATAGAAATTAGGCATTCCTTTAAAAACAACTCTCTGAATATACCCAAGTTTATCCGGACCCAGCCAAACATAATCAGGGAAAGTTTTGGAAATGTCAATTTCTACAAGAATATGAGCGGTTGAAGGGCGCGAAGCAACAGCCGTGGCATTATCAGTGTGAATCGGACGACCAAATAGAAAACCCAAACAAAAAAGAATTCAAGGAGAAAATAGATGAGGACGAAGCCCCGGAAATGAAATCTAGACAGGGACAATCGGCGACTCTTCAGAAAGATCAAGGAGCGGCGATCACTTAATCACTTTCATAAAACAACCAAAAACAAAATAGGATCGATGCAAAAATACCCTCCCATAATCTAGGTCATTCGAAAGCTTGATCAAAACATTAGACTGATCCAAAAGAGTAACAGAGAAATCACCCGATAATTTTAGGTTGAAAAAGAACCTACGTATCGAATCCAAAGCCGGCCGCTTAAGCGGAAATTTCCCCACTAAAGCAAACTCAAAAGGTTTCGCGAGATGCAAAAATTCATCTTCCGAAATTCACAAAGCCGGCATACCCCAAATCGTAGACACGAAAATCCGGAAAAACCTTAGAGACATCATAACCAGACAACACCTCTGTGAAGGATTTGAAATGCTTACCCTCAAGAAAGCCTGGATTTGACCTTTTATTCACCATAAGAGAAGGGCCGAGAGAGACGAAGACGGAGACGGAGGAGGCTAGGGCAAAAGCCCTAGCAGAGCGGCAAAAACCCTAGCAGACGACGCATGAAAGAAATTTTCCACACTCAGAAAATTGTTGATAAACAATGCAAGATATTACTTCACATGTGATAAATAAAACAATTATTCTCCGGATCTGATTAAGCCTAATTTTTAACACAAATTAAAAATCATATAGCAATTAAATAAACTAAGCTTGTACTTAATGAAGGTTGAATGACTCTAAATGATGTAAACAGTAAAAAAAAACACTCCAATAAGGCAATTTTATAAAACGGAGCATTGGATAAATTAAAATTGTTTTAAGAAGCAGTAAGAAAGATGTTCCAAATGAAACCTAAATGAAAAAAAAAATTGCTAAAAAAATTGCAAAAATAATTTGCATTTTCTTAAAGGTTTTCTCAAGTAAATGCAATTTTAAATTGTGTATTTTCAAACTGCAATCATAGTTTTTGTTTGGCTATTATTTTCTCATATAAAAAAAAATTTCCGTGCTAAGAATCTATTTTTTAAAGCAACTTTTAAGAAAGTTACTTTCCCATTCGTAACTTTATAATTAATTTTACAAAAAGCTGCAGTCATCTCAAATAGACTCTAAATTTACATTTTGTGCAATAATGTGCTCTTACTATATATACTATGTGGGAGGCGAATTTGGGTTCTTTGAGCAATTAATCCCCAACAAATGTCATTAGAGTGAGCAGCATTAGTGATTCTCCATTCTTTTTTTAAGCTTTATTTATGTAATTTGTTAATTTTGTATTAATTATTTTAATTTTTTTCTAAAAATTCTTTGCTAAATCATTTTTATTTTTGATAAATTATTTGTTTATTTTTCCTTATTAATTTTATTTATTTTTTCCACTTAAATAAATCAATTAATTGTTTACTAAACAAATTTTCAATTTGATTTAGTAAATCTCATATTTACTAAATCAATTATATTATTTATTCTCCCGCATTTCAACTTAATCTTGAATTTGTGAATCTGTTTTTTTTTTATTTGGCTAAAATTATTGTTAAGAGGTTGCTTAAAACTTTTCTTATTTTGTTGGAAAATTAAGGAACTAAGCCCAATTTCATTGCTATATGAAAAGATAAAATAGGCCTTAGCCCAGAAATGATTCAAAAGGAAAAATTTCTTAGGAGCTGCAGCCAAAAAACATATAATGCTCTAAATTAAAAGCACAAGAATAAAAAAAAAGAGATTACCTCCCCGAAGAGGATGAGCTACACAACTCGTCTTGATCTGTTGGTTGGGAGCTATAATTACCAACTAAGATATCTTGAGTTTGAAGCTTACGTATGTGATATGTAAGAGTTTGACTTAATTGACTCAAAAGTCCCCAAAAAAGAAAAAAAAAATAAAAGAGATTGAACAGGATTCAGACGACAAAACAATTCCCCGTAATGCAATGAATAAATCAAAATTTTATTATTTATTTGCTATGAAAGTTACGATTTGATTGAAGCCCTTAGATCAATGCTTAGAAATGTTAATAGTCATGTAATAGAAAAACTTCATTTATCTTTATCCATTGATCACTTCGATCCAACTGCACTAAAATAAATAAAATATAACTCTTAATTTCTAGCTAGCTAACCTACGAGATTCTTTTACTATTAGACATTAGAGGGTGTTTAAACCTTTATTTTATTTTGTTTTGTTATCTTCTTATATTGTGTTGCATTATGTGAAATAAAATTTCTTTTAATGCTTTTAAGAGGTTGACAAATTATTTCATAATCATATTGTTTATGGATTTGAAATGATGGAAAAGTTGTGTTAGGAAGATGAGTGTAATTTTAAAAATAGATTGGATTAAATGTAGTTTCTAATAATAAGAAAGAGATATAGTGTAATTTTACAAAACACTAAAAAGATGTGTAATTTTAAAATTTTGGGGGTTTAATATGCATACCACAAAATTCTTATGTATTTGCATGTCTACTAACTAAATCATGAAGATATATTAGCAAGAATATATAGTATAGAAATGGAAGAAACATTTAGGGAATATGCTACAAAATTTTATACTCTAATTGTTGATAGTAATGAACCTTTAGGGGAAGGTTTGAAGAAAAATTAAAAAATATTAATAGTTACATAGTTGATAAACTATAAACTATAAAGTTTAATTAAAATTGTTTATTGCTTTTCATGATTGCTATCTCTCTTATTAAGCCCATGATGTCGGAGATGAAAATTTAGTAAATGATATGTATCAATCTGCAAAAAAGAAGAAAAAGTCAAGACTTAAAGTCGAGAAAATTGATATTTTTG